TGTGTGTGTGTGTGTGTGTGTGTGGGGCTCTGTGTGTGACATCGAGTGTGTCGTCGCAGGCCATGCCCACCCTCATCGAGCTGATGAAGGACCCCAGTGTGGTGGTGAGGGACACCACGGCCTGGACGCTAGGACGCATCTGTGATCTGCTGCCCGAGGCCGCCATCAATGAGGTGTATCTGGCCCCTCTCCTGCAGTGCCTGATCGAGGGCCTCGGGGCCGAACCCCGCGTGGCCTCCAACGTCTGCTGGGTATGACGCCGCCTTTCACAACGCTGCTTTCATGAAGAGAAGACGTCCCTGATAGGTGTTTAGTGATTTGTTTGAGTAGTTGAACCCGGTTAGCACTGAATATAATGCATCTTTAACTGCTAAGTACTTCAGTATTGGTACAGTATACATGATTCGGTGTACTTCCACTGGTGACCTTGCCTCAGCCATGCACACAATCAAATGCTTAGTTTTCTAATGTAAGTGCGTAGTCGTCAAACACTCGATATAGTGTGTTGGGTTTGACTTCAACAAAAGGCAGCCTCCCCCTCGGACTCGTAGCACAGTCTAATGGGATCGATCAGTTGTGCTGTGATACGAGACTCACAGGTGCTGTTTTCAGGCTTTTTCCAGTTTGGCTGAAGCGGCGTACGAGGCCACAGACGCTGCTGACGATGAGGAAGAGCCCAGCACATACTGCCTGTCCTCCTCCTTCGAGCTCATTGTCCAGAAACTGCTGGAGACCACAGACAGGTAAACCATGACGGGAGGCAAACAGCCGCCAACCTAAAGGGATAGTTCACCCAAAAATGAAAATCCTGTCATTAATTACTCACCCTCATGTAGTTCCAAACCCATAAGACTTTTGTTCATCTTCAGAACACAAACTAAAATATTTTTGATGAAATCCGAGAGCTCTCTGACCCTCCATAGACAGCAACGTAATCAGCGTAGTTTGTTCCGGGGGGGGATGAACATAATCCGCATGAACATAATCATGCTTATGAACATAATCTGCATAAACAGCACTGATTACGTTGCTGTCTATGTGAGGGTCAGAGAGCTCTCGGATTTCATCAAAAATATCTTAATTTGTGCTCTGAAGATGAACGAAGGTCTTATGGGTTTGGAACTACATGAGGGTGAGTAATTAATAGGGGTGCTCCGATTGATCGGCTACCGATCACTATCGGCCGATAATCACGTTGGGATGATTGATCGGCGGTCTCTAAAAAGGCCGAGCTCAACAAACCGATCTCAAGCTGATGACGCTGCCGTGAGAGGTTTGGCACGACATGCAGCGGCACCGTCTCAGTCTCTGTCCGGCGCGGGTGAAATCATTATAATGCTGAAGGTGAGGTACTCTCCTTCATATTTTTTCATTAAATAACTTATAAAGTAATTTGAAAACCTTGTGTGAGACGTAATTTCACAAACAGCGTGAGTGAATCACCGCGCGCGCTGTCTCAAAATACGCAAATGGCTTCAAATCACCTCACATCGCGTCTGTCTATAAGCGAGCTGCACGCTGCACAGTTGACACAGGAATTGTCATTTGCACAATCGAGGCAGTGTCACATCGTCTCTTAAGTTTTAATAAATTGCATTTTTTTTATTTTTTTTATTTTTTTTATTGCCAGTGTTTAACCATTCAGTGCTCTCCTGGAGACTGAGCTCATGCACACTCGCAGCGCACACACATAATGCCAGGTTCACATTACTCCATTTGCAGTGCACACATGGTGTGTATTTTTTCCACGCTCATGTTAACGGATTAAAGCGTTCACTGCACACGGTTGCGGTCCGGCAGTGTGTTCAGGAGCTGTGTGTCTGCAGCAGTGCAGAGATCGTTTCCACACCGAGTCTACTGCTGCGCTGCAAGCGCTGAATTAAAGTAACAGTGGTAAATATACATGTTTGCAGTAAATATGAACATGACTTGACATGAAAATGTATTAATTACATCAATAATGCATATTATTAAAGTCTACTGTGTTTCACAGTCAACACATATGGCTTTTTGGCT